ATAAGTAAAGTTGTGTATTAAATTGCTAAATTACAAAGGTGGTGATTAAATTGCAAAAACATAAAAGGTGGTGCTTTTATATGCAATTTTGCCTTTTTTTTTCCCAAACAATACCAATATATTACACAAAAATGAAATGAAATAAATTATAAAGTTTGAAATTAAATAACTTCAACACAACTTGGCATTAATCATGAGCCAAAATTAAAAAACCAAATTCTTGACCTAAGCGAGTCATCAATGGTCATGAAAATTAATAACCGAGTTACAATTTGAAATATTGTTTAATAACAATCAAATGCACCAAGCACCAAACTTATGATATTCGTTTAAGAAGAGGTGTGTCTAAAGTAATGATGTCTCTTTACAAAAATAATAATAATTTTGAACCAAGAGACAGACAAGACTTATATACCCTACGATGTGTAAAAAAACAAACTTTGAGCAAGATATAATCAAAAGTTCTGTGCGACAATTTTAGAGTATATCAAGCAGACCTACATTCCTCTTTATGGGACCTATTTGATTTTAACACTTGTATTGGGAACCATCCAATGTGCATAGTAACTAGTAATTGTTTGGTTAGAAAGAGAAATATCTGCTTCACCCGTTATATTCTATGAATAAAAAGCATATTTATACTTCAAATGCCATACTTTATTTTCATGATATTTTGTAAAATATGTCATTTTCTAATGAAAGTGTACATATTTGTGAAAAAAACTATGTTGATCTAATAGTTAGGTTTGTCTAACGCATAGCCTACCAATTTCTCATCCTAATCAACAACACTTGTTTTTTTCTTGGCTTAACACACTAGTAATATATATTTCTTTTGATCTCATTTTCGAGGCACAAAGTTAGTGGGGTCCATGCAATATTGTTGGCCACTGGGTCAGCTAAATGGTCATGCAAGTTCTCGACTGGGCCCTTTTCGGTTACAATGGCCTGCACAAAGAACCCAAACATGGAGAATACATTGTGGTGTAGATTATTATTATTATTATTATTATTATTATTATTATTATTATTATTATTATTATTATAGAAATCTTGGAGAATAAGCTAGAAATTAAATATTATTATAAGAGATCTTGTCTTGGTGGACAAGTTAGGAATAGAGTTTGGGAGTCTTATTTAAAGGACTTCCTACATATTGTTTTAAGTAGTTGATTATTGAAATGAAATAAAATTTGATATCGTGTTTTGGTATTCTTGAGATAGCGATCTCATTAATATCGTCTCACACGTACGCTTCCCTACATTAGTTGGTATCAGAAGTTAGCACGATTCACAATGCCGCCACAAAAGGACGACATCGACGGGCGTGACGCCATCATTGAGTACCCGGGTCGACAAGCCACGGGCTTCGGCTTCCAGATCAATCAATTAGATCGTCGGATTGAGGATCTTTCGACGGGGATCGAAGAAGTGTGTCTTACGATTAACAACGTGGTTGAGGATTTGCAGACGAACCATGACACCGACAACCGGGGCATTCGCGGGGGAGTTAACGGAGGACGTGGAGGTCGTGGTCCAGGCGGGGCCTCAGCTGGAGATCTCCACAACCACCGTCCGACAATGAAGAGGGCGAGGATACCCTCAGGTGTATCCCTTCGGCGAGTGGTAACCTTCGCACGTCGAGGCTGACCCCTTCGCTGCATACGGCGGCCCTGACATGTGGCGACGGGCCCGGTCTTCATGGACTGCGACGATCAACGCGACGATAGAGGCAAGCGGGAGGAGGTTGCCCTCGTCGGTGAATATCATGCCCGACGCAATTGGGAATTTGATCGTGCATATGGTCGGTGAGAGGGCCCGTTTCGTGTTGACATCCTTGAATTTGACGAAGAGCAAGTTGACGGGCCATTGTACGATGGTCCGCCTGTGTTTGATGAAGGACCCCAGGAGGTGGAGGAACGTTCTTACCCGCGAAGTGGACCGTCTCTACGACGGTCCATTGATTTCCGACGAGGAGCCTCCGGGGTTGGAGGAATTCCATCATGTTCCAGGTATCGAAATTCAGTTGTTGGAAGAATTTATGTTGTGTAGGCCCGAGCTTTTCTCCCACGAAAATTTGTTGCGCCTTGCAACAAATGCTATTCTTTGGTCCCCATGGTGACTTCAAAATTTTGTGTGTGGTTGCTGCATATATGTCTTTCCACAATTTCAAGGTGGTGATGCCATGGAGGTGCAACATTCAACCTTCGTGTTCGACCGGAGAAAAGACCGGAGGTTTTCTACCATGTGTTTGACACCGCATGCCTGCCACGGGTGCGCATAGGCTTCGAGGGCGAAGCCTTCCGAAGCGGGGGAGAATGGCGCATATTATTATTATTATTGTTATTATTATTATTATTATCATCATCATCATCATCATTATTATTATTATCTTGGAGAATAAGTTAGAAATTAAATATTATTATAAGAGATATTTTCTTGTTGGACAAGTTAGGATTAATGTTTAAGAGACTTATTTAAAGGACTTTCAACCTAAGTAGTTGATTATTGAAATGAAATAAGATATCGTATTTTGGTATTATTGAGATTGTGATCTCACTAATATATGTCTTTCCACAAATTTCAAGGTGGTGATGCCATGGAGGTGCAACATTCAACCTTCGTGTTTGACCGGAAAAAATACCAGAGGTTTCCTACCATGTGTTTGACACCACATGCCTGCCACGGGTGCGCATCGGCTTCGAGAGCGAAGCCTTCTGAATCGGGGGAGAATAGCGTAGATCATTATCATCATCATCATCATTATTGAAATGAAATAAGATATCGTGTTTTGGTATTCTTGAGATTGCGATCTCATTAGTATCGTCGCACTCGTACGTTTTCTTACATCACATGGCCAACCTCCAATTCTTGAGTTCCTTAACCTACTCGGCAAACGCCTCTGGGTCATCATCCATGCCCAATGGGTCGAACGACCCATCAGGGTAGATGTTGTCCATGCCTTCTCCAAGCAGGCCTCCTCCAACTCTGTAACCTTCAACAAAGCCCATGAGAACAATCTGGGTGGCCCAAATAGCCAGGATACTCTGAGCATGGATCAGGTAAGAAAGTATTATCATATCTCCCTATATATTAATTCAGAACGCACTGAGCCTACGTGGCTACTTCTGGTGCTTCGGAATCCTATGTGTCAAAATTACATGCTTCGTTATTAGGCTTGGGTAAATTTTAATTTAATTCCAAACTAAAAATAATTAGGTTCAGATTAACATAAATACGTTGATTATTTATGGTAATGTTACATGTATTAATTACATTTTAATATCATTCCTTATTATAACTATTGAATTGTATATATTTTATAAGTTAATAACTTTTGTATTTTTTTTATCAGTTTTACATATGTAATATATCAAATTAATCTTCTTTTGATGAGCTTCAATTTAACATCCATATTGTATGTATAAAAAAATAAATTATATTTATCTTTATAACAATAATAAAATTATTTTTAATATTAATTAGAATATTTATATTTCAAGTAGTTTTATTATATAAGTTATAAAACTAATACTCCCTCAATTTCAAAATAAATGTCGTTTTAACTTTTTGATTCATCCATTTTGCTATGTATCTAGACATATAATATAACACATGTAGCCATAAATAATACATATCATTCTAAAATATATA